GTCATTTGATAACACTATGTTTAACTTTTTGTGGGACTGTCAAACTCTTTTTCACAGTGACAGCACCATTTTACATTCCTACCAGGCATGTACGAGGGTTCTAATTTCTCTACATCCTTGCCAACATTTTTCCTTTAAAAAAAATTATAATCATCATAGTGGATATAAATTTAGAGAGTTTTGCTGTAAAGAGAAGGAAAGAATTGGGCTGGTGGCTAAAGAGGGTGGTTCTATCAAGGTTTTTTTGTGTTTTTTTATTTTAAGATGGGATATATTATAGCATGTTTGTATACTGATGGTAATAATCTAGTAGAGAGGGGAAAATGGGTTATGTAGGAGAGAGATTGTACAGTTGTGGAGCCATGTTCTTGAGTAGGAGAGAGGGTAGGTCCAGAGGACAAGTGGAAGAGTTGGCCTTAAATGGGAGCACAGACAGTTTACCCAATATGGTGGTGCTGTGGTCTGAATGTTGGTGCCCAAGTTCATATATTGAAATCTAATCCCCAAGGTGATTAAATTAGGAGGTTGGGCCCTTGGGGGTGATTAGGTTATGAGGGTGGGGCTTCATGATTGGGATTAGTGCCCTTATAAAAGGAACCCTGGAGAGATTCCTCATCTTTTCTACCATGTGAGGACACAGCAAGAAGTCAGCAGTCTGCAACCCATAAGAAGCCCTTTACCAGAACCTGACCATATTGGCACCCTGTTCTTGAACTTCCAGCTTTCAGAAATGTGAGAAATGAACTTTTGTTTAAGCCACCCAGTCTGTGGTACTTTGTTATAGCAGCCTGAATGGACTAAAACAGGTGGGAAGGCAGAGCAGGAATACAAATGAGGGTAAGATGATAGCTTAGTGCTGAGCACTTGTGGAAATCCCTTTGTGATTTTTACCCCAGTGACATGAGCAGCTGAGATTGAGGAGGGGCAGGAGATATTAAAGATCTGAAGAGAAAGAAGCAGGTCCAATGTAATCTTTTAGGATGAAATTGACTAGACAGAGTAGGACAGCTAGGCATCACTTGAAGTTAGTGATCATGAGTTCAAAAGAAGACCAGTCGGTACTAATTTTTCTCCAACATCTGATCTTCTCTTACCATAGAGGTTTTCAGTATTTAAATGAATGAAAAATAAAATGAGTTAATACTGAGTTTATGTTGCATGCACAAAGAGAAATGCTTTATGCCAGATTTTATTTAAATTAAAGACCACATAAGAGCAAAGAATAGCACATCCTAGTTTAATTTTTCTGATCAAGGTAATTAGATTAAACAAGGATTTCATTTTAGTACATTTATTTCTCTTGAGGATGACGTTGCTGAATAAAGAAGGATTTAAAACTGACAGCTAGTTTTGAATCTGTCCATCTACATGTTATTTTCAGAAAAGGAGGAAACTAGAAGTAAACAGTAGCTGTATGATCTGGTATTCTCTAGAAATTTCTTTCTAAAATTCTGAACTGTGCTTGATTATCCATTTATTAATTCATTCAACAAGCATTTTCTCCATATATCCTTTTTTACCAGTTACAGGAAAAACAAAACTCAATTAAACATGATTCCTAACTCGAAGTACATCGGTGAAAGTGGCAAGTCCTAACCACTGAACCGCCAGGGAATTCCCGAGGCAAATATACTTTTATTTGAACAAATTCTTTTAGAGAACTTGGTCCTATGTACCATCACGTAAAATTAGCACTGATAAATAGAAAATGTTATGAAATTTGTAAAATAAAAAGCTCAAACATTAATAAGTTTAATACACTATATATAAAGTCTTTCTGGCAGGGCTTCTACTTTAACAGTAAACATGCTCATAAGACCACTTTGTATATATGTGCCACATCTTCTTTATCCATTCATCTGTCGATGGACACTTAGGTTGCTTCCATGTCCTGGCTATTGTTAATAGAGCTACAATGAACATTGTGGTACATGACTCTTTTTGAATTATGGTTTTCTCAGGGTATATGCCCAGTAGTGGACATGGGGAGGGGGAAGGGTAAGCTGGGACGAAGTGAGAGAGTGGCATGGACTTATATATACTACCAAATGTAAAATAGCTAGGTAGTGGGAAGCAGCCGCATAGCACGGGGAGATCAGCTCCGAGCTTTGTGACCACCTAGAGGGGTGGATAGGGAGGGTGGGAGGGAGACGCAAGAGGGAGGAGATACGGGGATATATGTAAATGTATAGCTGATTCACTATGTTATAAAGCAGAAACTAACACAACATTGTAAAGCAATTATACTCCAATAAAGATGTTAAAAAAAAAAAGACCACTTTGTCACAACGACAATCATGTGCTTCATGGAATTTTAGCTAGGATACACTATTAGAGTCTTAAGATTTTTATACTTCCCTTTTTGAAGTCCATTTGGTGTTTTTACAGAATTAACAATCTTGTGAACCTGGTAGTGCTTGTAAGTCAGACTTCTATTGAGACCAAGGGCAGAACACACAGCTGGACACTGTGTGGCAGTGTTTAAATACTCTTCCAAAAGCTAATGCCACAGCTCTGTGCATTGATTGCAAATGCAGCCCAGGGTTACGTTTGTCTTTTCTATTGCTGTTTGCCGCATTTTGTTTAGATAAATGGTCAAAATGAACGCCATTGCTTAAGAAAAGCATAAACACAATTTAGTCACTGAATATGGTTGTATGTAGGTTATTACTGTGGGGAGTCTTGGTTTGGCCGAAGTATTATTTTTAATGAAAATTCTGACAGACCAAGGTCATTTATGTTTCCATAACACTTAAAAAAATGAATAAGCTATCCAATTACTGAGGTTTAACTTGTATCAATGTAGTTGCACATATAAAATTTGATTGTGAATTTATTTTTCCAGGACTTTTAAATTATGAACATTATTTGAATGAAAGAGAACCAATCTATTGATTATTTACAACTGAGATACAATTTTATTTCATAGATATCTTCCCATATAGTACATAAAACAATGAATCTGAAGCCACCCCCAGAACACGGGATGGGGTGTCTTCCTTGTCTTCCTTCTATTGTCCTTCACCTTCTAAGATGATACCACTCATAGTGACTGAAATCAGACTAGGTGGCTTAAAACCACAGAAATTTATTTGTTTACAGTTCTGGAGGCTGGAAGTCCAAGATCAAGGTGCTAGAGGGGTTGGTTTTTCGAGACCTCTTCCTAGCTTGCAGATAGTGGCCTTCTCACTGTGTATTCACATGGCCTTTTCTCTGTGCACACCTGTCTCTTCCTCTTCTTATAAGGACACTAGTTCTATTAGATTAGGGCTCCGCTGTTATGACCTCATTTAACCTTAATGACTTCCTTAGAGGCTCTATCTCCAAATATAGTCATAATGGGGGTTAGGGCTACAGGGGGAGGGGTGGGGCACGGAGACAAAATTCAGTCCATAACAGTGTTACTAACAAACATTATATAATTTTAATGTGTGATTATTGTCCTTGTACATAAACTTTCTCAGTATTCCTCTGCCTTTCAGATATGTTGCCATCACAAAGACTTTGCTTTGCCACATTACCAATTTCATTCCAGTTAATTATAATACGGGTATCTCTATTGAGTGCTCAGTGTATTCAAGGAATTATCCCAGGTTCTGGAGATATATCCATTAATGAACCATCCCCCTGTAAGTAACTTGTAGTCTGACCAGATCTTTAGAAATTCAGAAAACTGCCACCTTCAAAGATATCTAGGAGTTCAGGAGTCCCAGATTGTGAACCACCTTACCTAACAACCAACTTCCTTGTAAAAAAAAAAAAAAGAAGTATTTTATTGACTAATTAATGTAACCAATATTTGTTAACTTTGAGCCTAAGGTACAGCAATAAACAAACTGTATTAAGTGCTTGGCCTCGTGAAACTTGTATTCTAATGGAAGAGACAGACAATAAACAAATTAAGATGTAGAATGCAATGTCAGGTAGTGATATTTTGAATTAAAAAAAAAGCTAAGGAGAAAGAGGACAACTTGTGGGGGGCAGGCTGCAAGCTAAGGTGCGAGAGAATGCCTCTCTGAAGAGGTAACATCTGAGCAGAGACTAGAAAGAGTGGAGGAGTGAGCCTGTGGCTGTGCGGGGGAGGAACGTTCCAGGTAAAGGACAGGTGCAACGGTCCTAGGGCAGGAGTGCGGTGTGTTTCAGGGGCTACAAGGAAGCCAGTGTGACAGAGCAGAGTGAGCTGGGAGAAGAGTGATAAGTGATGAGAGCAGGAAGGATCCTGTAGTGTATTTTAGTCTACAAGAAAAGAAGCCACTGAAGCATCTGGAGACCAGAAGAAATAGAAGCTGATTTATATTTTAAAGCCTCTCTGGCTGCTGTGTGGAGAAAAGATGGGGGGAGTGGAGGCCCAATATAGAGCAGAGAGACAACTGCAGTGATTAGAGTGAGAAATGATGCTGGCTTGCACTAAATTGATAGCATGGAGGTGTTGTGTGTGTGTGTGTGTGTGTGTGTGTGTGTGTGTGTGTGTGTGTGTCTGTGTCTGTGTGTCTGTGTGTGTTTTAAGGTAGGCCCAACAGGTATTGCTATCACGATTAGTAATTTTTTTCTCTTTTTGGTCGCGCCGTATGGCATGCGAGATCTTAGTTCCCCAACCAGGAATTGAACCTGTGTCCCCTGCAGTGGAAGCACGAATTCTTAACCACTGGACTGCGAGGGAAGTCCCTGATTAGTAATTTTTCTTTTTTTTTTTTTAATGATCACCACTCTTAGGTTCTTTTTTTTTTTTTTGGCTGCACTGGGTCTTCATTGCTGTGTGCAGTCTTTTCTCTAGATGCGGCGAGTGGGGCTACTCTTCGTTACGGTGCACGGGCTTCTCACTGAAGTGGCTTCTCTTGCTGTGGAGCACAGGCTCTAGGCATGCAGGCTTCAGTAGCTGTGGTAGTTGTGGTGCACAGGCTTAGCTGTCCCACGGCATATGGGATCTTTCCAGACCAGGGATGGAACCTGTGTCCCCTGCATTGGCAGATGGATTCTTAACCACTGGACCACCAGGAAAGTCCCCCTGATTAGTAATTTTTAATCATGAAATATTACATACAAAAAATAACCAACACCTACAATATTCCTGACCAGTACTCCTCAAATCTGTGCATCAGAAACAAGGAAAGTCTGAGAAACTGTCACAGTTAAGAGGAGCCTCAGGAGACATAAATGTAATGTGCTGTCCTGGATGGGATCCTGGAACAGAAAAAAGACATTAGGTAAAAACTAAGGAAATCTGTAGTTTATAAACTATGGACTTCAGTAATAATAATGCATCAATATCGGTTCATTAATTATACCAAATGTACCACACTAATGAAAATGTTCATAGGGAAACCGTGTGGGGGGTGTAATATGAAACCTTCTATACTATCTGTTTATTTTTTCTGTAAATCCAAGTTAAAAAGGAAAAAAAAAAAAAAAACCAACAATGTAACTTACATCCATGTATCCATGGAGATGGCTGGTGGTGACGGTTGCACAATGTGAATATACTTAATGCCACAAAACCATATACTTAAAAATGGTTAAAATGATAAATTGTATGTTACGTACATTTTATTGCAATAAAAAAAGATGTGTGACATTTTTGCTTCAGTTTTTTTTCTGTTCACAAGGTTTAGAATTAGATGATTTCCTCATAGTATTATAAGTGACAGAACTGATATTTGAACCCAGACCTGACTCCAAAGCCCATGCCTTATCCACCCTGCTTTATTGTCCCTCCATTAGTGTTTGTGGGACCCCTTCTCTCCTTGCATTTCACATATATTCCAAGGTCTTACCTCCCCCAGAGAGCTCTTAAGATTACTAGCTCATATTCATTCATTCAACAAATATGAATTGAGCTTTTCCTAGGTACCAGGAGCTATGCCAGTACCTTTTCCATACTCGTGTAATTCTCATCACAGCCCACAGTGAAAGAGGTAGTGCTGTAGACCTGAGAAAACTGCAGCTTGGAGAGGTTACATCACTTGTTCAGTATTATAGACCTAGTTGTATCCAAGCCAGGCATTAAACTCAGGTGTGTCTAGCTCTAAAGCCAAAGCTTTTAACGGCCTCCTTGTCAATGAACATTGGAGACAAGAGTATTATTTTTATTATTTCCGGTATTGTTTACCATGAGGGAAGGTTCATACCTCACACTGTTAGTAGCTTGAGTCGCCCTCATTCTCTAATTGTCTATACCTGTATTTTATGATAGATTCCTCTGGTTATTGATTGTTTCTTCTGTTTATGTCTTTTATCTCTCCCATAAGATCCTCCCTGTAATATTCAGTGCAAAGTCATCCTGTTCTCTCTGTAGGGATCCCATGCTTCCTTAACACCTCTTGCCTACATCTTTACAGAAGTACCTTCGGGGTCTCTGGACTGATAGTCTAATCCGACTTCAGTGTAACCTAGTAACTGATTCCAAAGTATTCGTAAGGTCAGCTCAGATGATTTCCCTCTCCTCTGCAAAGGAACTTTAAGGGGAGTCCATTGCCTACTAACTCAAATTGGGCTTTCAAAAAACCCTCAACTGACCTTTGAGGTCAAATTAATCTATCTCATTTTTCTTTTGACATGTCTACACTTCTCTAATTCTGTACCTTTTCCTAATACTCTCCTTTTTCTAGAAAGCCTCCCTCATTTCTGTTAAGACCTGTCAAAAATAAAATCAGATCAAAGTAAAATGTTAAGAGTTTACTGTGCATACAAAAGAAGAGTTCGCAAACTGGTAGACTTCAGATAGAAAGTGGCAAGAAGCTCAGAGGCATGTCCCTACGGGATGGCTTATAACACGAGAATAGGAAGTTGTTCAACCTTTACAATGATTGATTATTACAATAGGGGTTTCCAGACAGTAGGAGATTGGTTAAAAGTGATTATACCATTTTAGGAAGACAATTTAAATTTCATTTATGATTATCAGAGGCATTTACAAGAAATAAATTGAATTTCGTTTACATTCATGAAATAAGCTAGATTAAGTTTCCCTTTCATGGCCTAATTGGTTTTGTCTGCTCAAGGGATTTTTTTTTTTTTTTTTAATATTTATTTGGCTGCTCTGGGTCTTAGTTGCGGCACCTGGGATCTTCATTGCCGCATGTGGCATCTTTAGTTGCAGCATACAAAAACTTAGTTGTGGCATGTGGGATCTAGTTCCCTGACCAGGGATCGAACCCCTGGCCCCCTGCATCAGGAGTGCAGTCTTAGCCACTGGACCACCAGAGAAGTCCCTGCTCGGGGGATTTTTAAGGCTGGTCTCCTCTTTTGGTCATACTCTCAGCAAGTTCTTGTTCCTGTATATGTTCTAGTATAGGGTTACTCTTGGGTACCACTGTTGACGTTGGTAGGATGGATTGGTTTCTTGTTTGTTTGTTCGTTTGTTGGACGCACCACGAGGCTTAAAGGATCTCAGTTCCCCAACCAGGGATTGAACTCGGGTCCTGGCAGTGAAAGAGCCAAGTCCTAACCACTGGACCGCCAGGGAATTCCTTTCTTTTTTTGGCGGGGGGTGGTGGTGGATTGTGTGCAGTCACTATTACTGACAGTTGTATAGTCATGGTAGACATGGGTGGTTGGATCACTGAGTTCTTCTAGTTGCCTAACCCTGATGGACATCATTTGATGCGTGAGTAGCTGCTGAAAGGTATTTAAATATCTTGAGAAGATGCAACACACTAGGGAAATTAATGTGATGACTATGAGAATAATAACCAAGGAGTGAAAAATTCCCTAGGGCAGAGATTCCCAGGAGCCAAGACTTAACTAAAGAAATCAATGGATGAACCATGTCACCTATTTGGCAAAAGATGAACATCTGACCTTTAAGACCTTTTAAATTTGGGGTAACAATTCCTGATTTATTAACATGGAAACATTTTCCACCAATGACAATACACGCACCTCCTTGTTGGGCAGTTAGGTGCCTAAGACTCTTCTATTTGTAAGACTTCTGAAGCAAGGCTGGAAACCTTGGTATCTAAGGCTTGGAGAGAATTAGCTGTGTCACTGAAGCTTTTTTTTTTTTTTAAGTTTTAGGGATATATAAAACAGTCTTTTCTAATTTACAGGTGCCGATATGAAGAATTAATGCTCTGACAAAGGAAGGAATCCAGCATTGTGTGTAGAGGGTTTTGGTGCTTCATGGATTTCTCTTATGAACTGGTATCTTATGAATAAATGAATCAAGATTGGTGGTTTCATGTGCAGATACTTTTTTTGTTTCTGACTATTGGGAGTTAATAGCTCTAACCCACAATGACCATTCCAGTTTAGGGGAAGTTCCTGATACAGGGTGGTGTTGCATTGGAAATAAAGCCCCACTCCTCTTAGGGACAGAGTTAAATTTTGATGGTATTGGCTTGGGCAATTTGTGGATTGGTTATCTGAGGTTTCTTCAAGAACCATGAGCGGGCTTCCCTGGTGGCGCAGTGGTTGAGAGTCCGCCTGCCAATGCTAGGGGACACGGGTTCGTGCCCCGGTCCGGGAGGATCCCACATGCCGCGGAGTGGCTGGGCCCGTGAGCCATGGCCACTGAGCCTGCGCATCGGGAGCCTGTGCTCCGCAACGGGAAAGGCCACAACAGTGAGAGGCCCACGTACCGCAAAAAAAAACCCACAAAAAAACAAAAACAAGAACCATGAGCAAGCAGTGCTTCGATTACTGAATTTAAATAGAAGGAAGAATTCGCCATGGGATTAGGGATTGGAGAACATCCAGTCAGGAAAATTTTATTGTGGTCATAGTATTGGTAATGAATATAGGTAGAGAATCTTTTAGGGTTTTGTTAAGAAAGTCTAATCCGAACAGTTTCATTACACTATTGAGGAGTGATAAGTCCCAAAGAGGGACAATCTATTTGATTACTGAAAATATGAAGTGGAAATTTTTCTTTTATTGGAGGATGAATAGGAAATATAATTGGGAAGAACTGGTTAGTTAGGCTTTAGGAATGTGTCCATAATCCATTGGGTTGATACCAAACTGTTTTGTTAGCAAGATAAAACTGTAAGAATACATCAGGTTCTTCATCAATCTGGGTACATATCCAACATTCTACTTAATTAGTCACTGATGCTATTTTTTTTTGTACAGTGTCAATTAAGAGGTGTTTATACTTAACATTAGTAAAGCCTTAATAGAATTATTAATAATAAAAGCACGTTAATTTTGGCACCAGTGGTCTTGCTCCATTGACTTGGGAAAGTTGTCTACATCATGTGGTTGTCTGCTTCTGGGGAAAATTTTTCCCCGGTATCCTTAATTTTAAGTCGGCTGTAGGTTGACAGGCCCAAGAGTCTGAGGGAGTTCTTTTTAGTTGAAAGATATGAACTCACGGTTCAACACTCTGTAATTTGACTACTATCTGAGAGGTTAAAAGAACCTGATGGGACTCCATCAAGGTTCAAGTGCAGCTTTTGGTTGATGTGTTTTCCTGAATACTGTCACTGGGTTCCAAAGTATGGGGTAGAAAGTCCTCATCAGGTTGAGGGTCTCTAAAGGCCTCTTTGACCTCCTGGAAATAAGCTTCTAATATTGCACTAGAGCCTTACAGTACTTGGTCATATCAGAGTTCACAAGAGCTGGATGAGCAGGTGGGGTTCTATCATTAAGGGCATGGGTCACCCAGTAATGATTTCATCAGGCGTCAACTTATTTTTTTTAACATCTTTATTGGAGTATAATTGCCTTACAATGGTGTGTTAGTTTCTGCTTTATAACAAAGTGAATCAGCTATACCTATACATATATCCCCATATCTCCTCCCTCTTGCGTCTCCCTCCCACCCTCCCTATCCACCCCTCTAGGTGGTCACAAAGCACCGAGCTTATCTCCCTGTGCTATGCGGCTGCTTCCCACTAGCTATCTGTATTACATTTGTTAGTATATATAGGTCCATCAGGCGTCAACTTATATTTTCCAAAAGGTGTTGATCTTATTGTCTTAAGAGTTAAAGGTTTAACGCTTTAGGCCAGTTGGTCTCAGTTAATTTCGTCAATTTTAATTTTAGAATGCTATTGGTGCATTCAACCTTTCCTGAAGATTGAGGATGACAGGGACAGTGGTAGCGCCATTACGTTTGTATAACCTTGTCTAGTTTTTTTTTTTTTTTTTTTTTTTGTCTAGTTGTTTTATAACTTGTCCAGTAAAGCGAATCTCTCTATCACTTGAAATTAAGTTTGGGGACTTCCCTGGTGGTGCAGTGG